GTGTGATGTGATTCCTATGAAAGTTACTCACATCCTCTTTGGAAGGCTTTGGCTTTATGATAGAGATGTACATCCCTGTGGGAAAAAAAAATACATACTCTTTCTCATTTAACAACAAAGAGATTGTTTTGAAGCTGTTGACTATAGTTGAAATGGAGAAATTCAAAGAAAATAAGCCGAAGGATGATGCTGATGTTAAGCCAAAGTCCCTTCATGTTCTCACCAAGAAGCGCTTTCAACAAGAGAGCATGGAATCGGGGGTCATATATGCTGTGGTGATGAAAGAAGTATCCAAAACAGAAGCTGTTTTATCCACTGCAATATCACCGGAGGTGATTGAGCTGTTATCTACCTTCTCTGATGTTGCACCCGCAGAACTACCAAATGAACTTCCTCCAATGCCCAATATCTAGCATGCAATGGATCTCGTTCCATGGTCACAATTGCCTAATCTTTCAGCCTATCGCATGAATCCAAGTGAACATGCAGAGCTTAAAAGGCAAGTGAATGAGCTGCTGTCTAAGGGATTTATTCGTGAAAGTTTAAACCCTTTTGTTGTCCCCGCATTGCTCACGCCAAAGAAAGATAGCAATTGGCGCATGTGTGTTGACAGCCGTGCTAGAAACAAGATCACAATCAAATACCGATTCCCCATTCCAAGGCTTGATGATATGTTGGATATATTGGCTGGTTCTTGCATATTTTCGAAGATAGATCTAAAAAGTGAATACCATCAAATACGCATAAGACCAGGAGATGAATGGAAAATAGCTTTCAAGACAAGGGATGGCCTCTATGAATGGCTAGTCATGCCATTCGGTCTTTACAAATGCCCCTAGTACCTTCATGCGCTTTATGACATAGGTATTGCAGCCATTTATTGGTCAATTTTTGGTTGTTTACTTTGATGATATTCTAATATCTAGCAAGACCAAGGAAGAACACATCTTTCATCTTCAACAAGTTGAGGGTTCTCCGCCATGAGAAGCTCTACATGGATTTAAAGAAGTGTTCTTTCATGAGCCCAAGTGTTCTGTTTTTGGGCTTTGTTGTTTCATCTAAAGGAGTGGAGGCTGATCCAAGTAAGGTGAAAGCCATTCTAGATTGGCCGATTCCTAGTTCCTTGCATGAAGTTTTCATGGGTTGACAACTTTTTATCGTCACTTTATCAAGAATTTCAGCACAGTTATGACACTTATAACCAACTGTATGAAGGTGGGACAGTTTGTTTGGACCAAAGCAGCAACAAAGGCCTTTGAAGAAATAAAGAAAATGATGACTGAAAAGTGTTTGAGGTGGCTTGCGATGCATCCCATGTTGGGATTGGAGGTGTGCTTATTCAAGAAGGGCACCCTGTTGCTTACTTCAGTGAAAAGCTCAACGAAGCCAAGCAAAAGTACTCTACCTATGACAAGGAGTTTTATGCATTAATATAGGTACTTCGGTATTGGCGCCACTATCTTCTTTTTAAGGAGTTTGTGATGTATTCTGACTATGAAGCACTCAAATAAATTAACTCCCAAAAGAAATTGAATCATCGGCATGGTAAGTGGGTTTCATTTTTGCAAGAATACTCTTTTGTTATCAAACATAAGGCTGGTTATGAGAATAAGGCAGCTGATGCACTTAGTCGAGTGGTGTATGTTCTTTCTTCCATGACTATACAAGTTGTGGGTTTTGATTTGCTCAAAATGGACTATCCTTCTTGCAAGGATTTCAGAGTTATACATGCTAAGTTATTGGCTGAATAGGAGGGAGGATATGATGATTTCTCCTTACATGATGACTACCTCTTCAAGGGAACCCAACTTTGCTTACCCAACATTTCTCTTCGTGAATTAGTGATTTGGGAATTACATTCTGAAGGGACAGTAGGTCATGTTGGAAGAGATAAGACAGCTGCAATGGCTGAAGATCGCTTTTATTGGCCAAAGCTGAAGCGGGATGTAGCCAAGGTAGTTTTGCAATGTCGAACTTGCCAACTTTCGAAAGGAAGAAAGAAGAATACTGGTTTATACATCCCACTACCTGTGCCACACGAGCCATGACAGGATTTAAGTATGGATTTTGTCCTTGGATTGCCCATGACCCTTCGAGGATAGGACTCCATTTATGTGGTTGTGGATCGCTTCTAAAAAATGGCTCACTTTATTCTTTGTTCGAAGACATCCGATGCTGTTCACATTGCCAAGCTTTTCTTTAAAGAAGTTGTTCGTCTTCACGGATTGCCTCGAATTATTGTATCTGAGCGTGATGTGAAGTTCGTAAGTTATTTTTGGTGCACTCTATGGAAGTTGCTGCATACAAAGTTGAAGTTTTCTTCTGCTTTCCACCCGCAAATTGATGTTCAAAATCTTTCGCTTTCCACCCTTAAACTGATGTTCAAACGGAGGTTGTCAACCGCAGTTTGGGAGACCTACTTCGCTGCCTTGTTAGGTATCATGTTAGTAGTTGGGATCAGGTTTTTTCCTATGGCTGAATTTGCATATAATAGCTCTGTCAATAGATCTACAGGTCGTAACCCATTTGAGATTGTTACAGGTTTGCTTCCTAGAAAACCAATTGATTTGGTTCCGTTACTTATCGAGGCTTGCCTAGGTGCTGAAGCTGAAGCCTTTAGCAAGCATATTTTTGATATACATGCTGAGGTTCGACGAAAGGTTGCCGTAAGCAATGAGAGCTACAAACGACATGTTGATTTGAGGAGAAGGTTTGCTGAATTCGATGGAGACATGGTTATGGTCTGAGTGAGGCCTGAACTGTATGCTAAAGGTGCTTATAAGAAGCTTCATTCAAAGAGTGCTAGTCCATCTAAGGTTCTTAAGAAAATTAGCTCCAATGCTTATGTTCTTGACTTGCCTGAAGATATGAGCATCAGTAATGTCTTTAATATTGAGGATCTTACTCTGGACACACTGACAATGATGTACACCCTAAACCAGTTACTTCTCTACCCCAAGCCACATATTTAAGGGATGAAATTGAAGACGTGGTTGATCATCATATTGTTTCAACTAGAAGTGGTGGTTATCAGAAATATCTCATTAAATGGAAGGGGCGTCCATTTTCAGAATGCACCAGGATTACCGATGAACAGTTCCAACATCTCAACCTTGATATTTATGAAAAATTCCATGCTTTTAACTTGCTAGGGTCGAGTTCTCTCAAGCCGGGGAGAGTTGATGAAAAATGACAACGTCCAATAAAGGTATATAAAAGATGTGGGCGGGATGGTTCTAAGGCCCAAGCCTTAATTTGACATATGTTGGATAATGTTGGGCCCACTTGGGATATTGACTAGACATGGGCTTATTTCTAAAAGTCTCCATGACTTTTCATTTGCCTTATGACTTTTCATTTAGTTACATTAACCACAAGTTTTCTATGCATGTATCCACAGATTCATTCATTGTATCTAGCTTTTTGGGAGTTGAAAAGTTTCAACATTAATTAGTTTCTGAAGTCCCATATATTGATGTAACTTCAAGACTTGAAGTATGATGAATGAATATATGAAATTTTCAGAAGTTTTTCTAAACTTTTAAGATTGTGTGATGCAATCTTTTTTTTGGTGTGGTGCTAAAGAGCCCCTAGGTAAGATTCCTTGGCTTTCTAGGTGTGAGGTCTAGAACTATCTTCTCTTCCTTCTAATTCCCCTTTTGCTTATGTAATAGTCGAGGTAGAAAAGTGATACATTGTCTGTTGGTGCATGCCAGATAGTATAGACTAAGAAGCACAAATACTTCGAAGAAAGTAATGTGTGATGGAGATTGAAAAGGGATTGAATAATCTTGAATTTGAATTTATTATTTTTTCGATTATTATATTATTTAGGGAATATTTGTTTAACTAGGATTGCTTTAATAATTTTGAGTAATGAGAGTTTGATAAGGAATTTATTAGAGTATTAGTAGGAGAGTAATTTGAGAGTATGATTATGAAACTATTTTAGAATTTAAATAGGAGAGTATTTTTTATTTTGGTAGGAGACTTAACCTATAAATATAGATGTAATCTCTACTATTTTCATGAGAGTGATATTACTAAAATTCTTTGTGGAGAATTATGTAATTCTTTACCTAATTCTTGTGAAAGGTTGGTTTACCTTAATTATTTCTTCTCCTTTTTTCGTCCGGCATCAATTGTTTTTGACAAGCTGATTTCAAAGGGTGTTACTATAGTTGAAGTGAAACAAGTTTTGAAATTGGTTTCTTAGATGGAGTTGCTACTTTTTTTGCCACCAATTCTTATGCTTTCTTCACCACCATCCTTGTACGTGAAATAAAATGTGAAGGTTATGGAGATTCAATATATAGATTCCTCCCATTGTGATACCCAGTATTATCTCATTGACGTGAGATCTTGTTCCTATGCTATTAAGATAGAGGATGTACTTTGCAAACTAACATTGATTTTCTTGGAATACTCTTGCTATTATAACTCTTTGGAGAAATTTTTTTTTTCCAGCCAGCGAGAATATATGGAGATTGAAAAGGGATTGAATGAGGCTTAATTGAAGAATTTGAATTTATTATTTATTTTCGTACATTAATTAGGGGATATTTGTTTGACTAGGATTGTTTTAAAAATTGAGTATTGAGAGTTTGATTAGAGAATTATTATAGAGTTTTAGTAGGAGAGTAATTTTAGAGTTTTATTATGAAATTATTTTAAATTTTGGATATGAGATTGATTTTTATTTTGGTAGGAGGGCTAGGCTATAATTATGGATGTAATTCCTACTATTTTCATAAAGAGAGACTGATATTAATAAAATTATTCCTCTGTAGAGAATTATATGTTTCTTGACCTAATCCTTGTGAGAGTTTGATATTTCTTAGTTCTTTCTTCCTCTCCTTTTCCTATCCTTCCTGTCCAGCATCAATGTCTGTGTAAGACATGTGTCGGGCATCGACATATTTTTGCAAACTTTCTCAAGCACGTGTTGCTACCCTATTGGATCAATTCTAGACACCGGGTTTGACATGCTAGTTGGAGACATGTATGACACTTCTAAGGTCATGTATATAACTAAAAAAATAAACATGTGACCAACACCTTTGGAACACGTGTTAACATGTGATTAACAAAAGTTGAAATTTTAGAGTCTGACAATCTTATACCAAGGATCGTAATATTGTTTCGGTGTACCGTTTCAATCAAATGGAAACGTTACGGAAATACAATGGAAACAAAAAAAAAATATGAAAATATATGGAAACACGTAAAAACATAAATAAAATTCTTTTATTTATAAAGATAAGCTTAATAATTGATTGATTAAGCATGTTTATTGGTTTAACATCCATTTATACAAGATAACATCAAGTTGATGGGAAAAAAAAGGGTTGACACCAGGCGAAAGTCACTTCAACTAATTGAAATTGTGTCATCAAATTACTAAGTAATATTATTTCATTAATTTTAAAATCAATGAATAAATAATTTTTGAAAACACATACTTAATTTCAGATATTTAATATACCATAGAATTAATCGCAAATTTTGACAACTAAGGTATATTGCTAATATAACAATTTAGTAAATAACAGTAGTATAAAGAATAAAAGAAACAAAAAGGAGGGGGGATTAAAAGTTAAAACAATCGATTATAATAAACTAAAAAAGATAAAAGAAAAAAAAAGGGGGGCATGGGGATTAAAACGGACAGGCGTCTGTTCTCAACGAAGGAGCAGACAAGAGATAGAGAGAGAGAGAGAGAGGCGTCTGTTTTCAACAACACACCTTTTCTACAACATGTGGATATAGATACTTTATTGCATATATGGATATCCGTGGCAAAAGATTTTTTGCAAATAGTGTTTTATGTTCACTTCACATATATGCATAATTGGAGTAACTAAATTATGCTTGCAGGACTGGGCTGATTTATGGAGGCCTGAGCTTGCAGGGAAGATCTCAATGGTTGATTCTCCTAGAGAGGTTGTTGGTGTAGTACTGAAGTGTATGGGGGCATCATATAACACCAATAACATTGACTCTCAAGTTGCTGGTGGGAGGAATGCTGTGCAGCAGAAGCTTGCATTGCTTGCAAAACAGGTATGAAGAGAACATGGAAAAATCCCTGCCATGGTGGTCAAAGCATCCCATTGGTTGGATTTGAACTTTATATGATGACACACGGGTGGGTGCGGTATGGATGGGTTTGACTCAAGGATCAAAATTTCGTTCTTAAATGCTTGAAATGGTCGAAACTTTTTCATTTCTAAGGAAATTAAAACGAATCAGTGATTGAATTGAAATTCCAATCTTTCTAGCCTTCTAGGTATTCTAAAATATTTTGAGGTGTTTTAAGATGTTTCAATCAATTTTTTAGTATGTTTCAAGGTTCTCAAAGCATTTTTCGAAACATTTTCAAAATGTTTCCGTTTTTATTTCCGTTTTTGTTTCTGTTTTCTTTTCCTTGGTGTGACCGAATTAATGTATTGAGACGAAATTTTGAACCTTGGTCAAACTGAATATAAGGGACAAAGGTAATGATCTAATTTTTGCATTTGATGTGGCCCATAACATGCATGAAAGTTGCATTTGTTGGAAATATCCCAAGCTAGGGGAGGAGCTGTATGTCAAATATGGAAAGATTGGAAGAAAAGAGTTTTCATATATATACACACACAACCATGTTGAAGCACACAACATTATGGATGGAATTTAGTCCGCATATTGAACTTATACCGTTGGATGAATCCAACGGTGGAAAGTGCACATAAATATAAAAAAGTGAGATTGAATCTATGAAGTACGGATATTTTGTTGAGGTCAACGTATTTGTATTGGATACCGTATCGGATACGATACTTGTCAGATATTCGAAGATACGTATCAGATACACCTATGTATCCGATAACAATAAAATATTTGGATATTTTGCGGATACTTTTGTAATGAAGCAATATTTATAATTTTTGAATCTAACCTTTAAACATCTACCTTTGAATTCACATAACATACAAAACATGAACATAAATTCATACGACTTTGAAGACAATTTTTTTTTATGTTTTATCTATTATTACATGTTAAAAGGACATAAAATGAATCTATTTATACTTTTAACAACAAATATTTCTAAGTAAACTAAGTAAATATTAGTTTTGATTCATGTAATTAGTCACGAAGTGAATATACCATCATGATATGATATATATTTTTTCAAAAAAAAGTATAAATTTTGCTTATGTTAAAGAATTATCAAAATATATAATTATTAAGTCAGTAGATGACAGTCAAAATATGAAATAAATTTTATTATAGACGTATCCTAGCCCTACCTGTATTCTACTTTTTTAGATTTTGCTGTATCGCCATATCCGTATCGTATCCGTATCCGTGCTTCATAACATTGGATACATGCGTATGTGGTCATCAGAATTTTTGAATTTTCTCTCATTTATTGTAGTCAACTCGTCTCCATTTTCTCTCCCACTTTCTCCCCACGTCCTCTCATAGTTGTCCAATCGTGATTCGTATCGTGAATCGGAATCCTAAATTTTAGAATCGTGAATCGTAAGATTCGACACAAAATTTGAATAAAAAAAAAAATAACATTACATATTTAAAATAGACAAAATATTGAATATTGAACATTATTGCATTCTAAAAATAAGCAAATTGACATAATCATGTCTTCTAAATGGAAAGACGTTAAACTTTTGCTTCATTTTCATCTTTTGTTTAACCATTTTCAAATTCAACAATTTGAAAAAAAAATTCATTAAAAAACTATGGCTATTTAAGAATTAAAATAGTGACATCCAGTATAGATTATGTTACAAACTTGAATGAAAAAAGACAAATAAGAAAATTGATTGGGAGAAAACATACAGGCTAACATTTTGAAAGAAAAAATTAGAACCTGACAAACTACCCATGAAAGGATTGAGAGCAAAAATCAACCGATGATGCGATAGTGTTAGTTGCGATCTTTAGTTTTAGACAATACAAGGTGAGCTTTAGATGACGTCAGAGAGATAATGAGTAAAGAGGTTGAGTTTTTATTAGGATGTGGGTTCCTCTGTAAAAAAAACGACGTCGTTTTACTATTTAGCAGACAAAACGACGCTGTTTTGAAAAAAATTTGGGTTTTAAAAAAGGTGATTGAATCATGCGATTCGTGAGATATGAATCGAATCGTACGATTTATGTGCGATTCAGCTCTAACACGATTCTCATATAAGATACGAATCGTTTTGTATCCGTATCAAATCAAATCGTATGAATCGAATCGTGAATCGTACGATTTTGATAACTATGCCGCTCTTTCTCTCTCTCTCTCTTATCTTTCCTTTTGGATGAAAACTATTAAAAAATCAATTTTAGACAACAATTCTCACTCATCCAATGGATGGCAACAATTTTTTTTCAGTAAACAATAATGCTTGTTTTACTAATTAGGGGTTTAATTTGAAAACTAAATGTGTAGTTGTCAAATCGCGATTCGTATCGTGTATCAGAATCCTAAATTTGAGAATCGTGAATCGTAAGATTCGACACAAAATTTGAATAAAAAAAAAATACTACATATTTAAAATAGACAAAATATTGAATATTGAACATTATTGTATTCTAAAAATAATCAATTGACATAATTATGTCTTCTAAATGGAAAGACGCTAAACTTTTGCTTCATTGAAAAAAAAATTCATTAAAGAACTATGGCTATTTAAGAACAAAAATAGTGACACTCAGTATAGATTATGTTACAAATTTGAATGGAAAAAGACAAATAAGAAAATTGAATGGGAGAAAACATACAGGCTAACATTTTGAAAGAAAAATTTAGAATCGAACAAACTACCCATGAAAGAATTGAGAGCAAAAATCAACTGATGATGCGATAGCGTTAGCCGCGATCTTTAGCTTTAGACAACGCAATGTGAGCTTTAGATGACTTCAGAGAGATAATGAGCAAAGAGGTCGAGTTTTTATTAGGATGTGGGGTTCCTTTGTAAAAAAAAAACGTTTTATTGTTTAGCGGACAAAACGACGTTATTTTGAAAAAAATTTGGGTTTTAAAAAAAGTGAGTGAATCGTGTGATTCGTAAGATACGAATCGAATCGCACGATTTATGTGCAATTCAACTCTAAAACGATTCTCATATAAGATACGAATCGTTTTGTACCTGTATCGAATCGAATCATGAATCGTACGATTTTGATAACTATAACTAAATGTACTGTGCATATTAAATTAATAGTGAATTTTATTCAATAACTCATTGTTTATTTAAAGTTCACAATGCATTACATCATTAAATTAGGTGTAAATAACATTGTTCATGACTGAATTTTTTTTTTTGGCCCACAATTTTAATTGCTTGATTTATAAACCCACTGGTGTGTCTTGATTTTGGATGAAACAATGGATTTTTTTGATCTATAATTTTAACTGGTTGATATATAAACATTTTGGCATGTCTTGAATTTGGATGAAATAGTTGATTTCGTCAATAGTTTTTATCCAATATGAAAGATGAGAAAAAGGGAGGAAGAGAGGGTTTAGAGCATACTTGTCAAATTGCGATTCGTATCGTGAATCGGAATCCTAAATTTGAGAATCGTGAATCGTAAGATTCGACACAAAATTTGAATAATAAAAAAAAAATAATACTACATATTTAAAATAGACAAAATATTGAATATTGAACATTATTGCATTCTAAAAATAATCGATTGACATAATCATGTCTTTTAAATGGAAAAACGCTAAACTTTTGCTTCATTTTCATCTTTTGTTTAACCATTTTCAAATTCAACAATTTGAAAAAAAAATTCATTAAAGAACTATGGCTATTTAAGAACCAAAATAGTGACACCAGTATAGATTATGTTACAAACTTAAATGAAAAAAGACAAATAAGAAAATTGATTGGGAGAAAACATACCGGCTAACATTTTGAAAGAAAAAATTAGAACCTAACAAACTACCCATGAAAGGATTGAGAGCAAAAATCAACCGATGATGCGATAGCGTTAGCCGCTATCTTTAACTTTAGACAACGCAAGGTGAGCTTTAGATGACATCAGAGAGATAATGAGCAAAGATGTTGAGTTTTTATTAGAATGTAGGTTCCTTTGTAAAAAAAACGACGTCGTTTTATTGTTTAGCGGACAAATCGACGCTGTTTTTAAAAAAATTTGGGTTTTAAAAAAAGTGAGTGAATCGTGCGATTCGATTCGTATCTCACGAATCGCACGATTCATGTGCGATTCAACTCTAAAACGATTCTCATATAAGATACGAATCGTTTTATACTTGTATCGAATCGAATCGTATGAATCGAATCGTGAATCGTACGATTTTTATAACTATAATTTAGAGAATGAGAACATAAGAGAGAAAGTGGAGACCATGAAGTGACTGCAAGTCTGCAAAAAATACGAGAGAAAGGCTAACATTTTATGACCACATACACAAGTAATATCAAGATGTACTCTTTCATATGGGTAAGTGTAGTGCCCACTTTCCACCGTTGGATTTATCCGACAGTTTAAATTCAATTTGCGGATAAAATTTTAGCACACGATGTCGTGTACTTGAACGGGACTCTCTTTCTCTCTCTCTCTCTCTCTCTCTATATATATATATATATATATATATATATATAGTTGAAAGCAATAAATTGATATTAGGGCTAGAGAAAGATAGAGGAAAGAGAAGAAGAGGCAAGGAATGAAAGAGTCAGTTGTGTATGAGTTATGTTGCCTTACTCCAACTTATTTTATTTATAATTGAGCAATATTTAGGGTAAATCCAATATTACCCTACACTAATAAACTCATGACTTAATACATAAAATAAGAACTCTAATACTTTCTCTTAAGTTGAGCATAAAGATAAAAAATGCCTAACTTGGAATATAAACTATTAAAGGGCGATTGAGCCAATGACTTGGCAAGAATATCACTCAACTGATCACTAGACTTAATATATGGAGTGATGAACTCCTTTTTCATCAATAGGTCTTGGATGAAATGACAATCTACTTCGATGTGTTTGGTATGATTATAAAAATACCGAATTACTTGCAATAAAAATTGTTGTTTGATTGCCACAATGCATCTTCACGGGGGAAGACACATTAAATCCTATATCACTGAGCAAAGAACAAACCCATAACATCTCATAAGCAGTATGAGCCATAGTACAATATTCAGCCTCCGCACTAGAATACGCCCGGTCAAACATCAGAAAAATCGACAACAGTTATGGTTGGTGAGGGATGATATTTAATATTAGGGTGTGTAATATCATCAAACACTTCGCCATTCTCAGAATCTAACCTTAATTGTAGGATCCATAGGCGTATTAATCTACCTTACTTTTGTTGGCACAAACTGGTACCCTCCTTTGATCGGACAACCTCAATCCCTAGGAAGTATCGAAGAAGGCACAAATTTTTGGTGTGAAACTGCTTTCCAAAATAGGTCTTGAAATGTGCAATACCATTTGAGTTATCATCATTAATGATAGTGTTGTCAACATACACAATAATAATAATAATGCTTGCAGGAGATCGATGAGTGAAAAATGAATGATTTGAAGTAGAACGTTGAAAGCCAAATGGACGCATAACAGTGCTAAACTTATCAAACCAAGCACGTGGTGATTTCTTCGAGCCATAAATTTCTTTCTTCAACCAACACACTAATTGTTCCTGTCCAGTGACAAAATATCCTGGTGGCTGAATCATATATACCTCTTCTCGTAAATCTCCACATAAAAATGCATTTTTTATATGCAGTTGATGTAAGGCCAATCACAACAGACTGTAACAGAAATAAGAACCGAGTTAAGACGAGCAACAGGAGAGAAAGTCTCACAGAAATCAACACTGTATGTTTGAGTGTAGCCCTTAGTAACCATCCGAATGATATTTCACAGTATAGACCCAACAATAACAGATAGATTACTTACCAGATGATTCAAAGAATTAGGATCAAATACAGAAGACAAGGTTGAAACAAAACAACGAAAGTGTGACGAAAGCCTATTCAAATATGCGAAGTTAGAAATGAGATGTTAGGTACAAGTACAAGTACCTTTCCGCAATGCAATAGGAAAACTAGAAAAGGATAATTCATAAGACGGATCAGGAGGTAGGACCTTAGTAGAAACAGGTAGCGGTCGGAGGGTTAGAGCATATGGAACAACCTGTCTATCTATGGAATGGCTGAACGTCAGTAAATCTACAAGAGGGGGTCAAGAGCCAAAGTGGGAAAAGGTACACAATCGGGTATATAAGGCAATATGAGTTGCCCTGGACTACTAGATATGAAATCTAGGGATATAGTAGTTCCCGAGGCAGAAAAAAAAGAAGGCTCAAAAAATGTGACATCGACACTGATATAATATCGATGGGAGACAGGGTCATAACAACGATAACCTTTCTGAGTACGAGAATATCTCAGAAAGACACACTTTACTCCGCAAGGTGAGAGTTTATCCCTACTCGGACCAAGGAGGTGAACAAATGCAACACATCTAAAGACCCGAGGAGTTAGGCTAAAGGGTGATGTATCAGGATAGAGTAATGAGAATGAAGACTTGTTATTAAGGATGGGTGAAGGCAGTTGATTAATAAGATAAACCGTAGTAAGAAAGGTTATCATTGTGATGATGATGATGATGGTGGTGGGGGGCAACGACGGTTGCTGTGGGCAATGGTGGTGGTGCGTAGTGGCGAATGGTGGTGGTGGTGGTAGGTGTGGTGGGGGTGGGAGATAGTAGGTGGTGGCGGCGGCGGCGGTGGTCGGCAACGATAGTAGTAGTGGGTGGTGGCAGTGGGCGATGGTGGTGGTGGGATGATGGTGATAGTGGTAATAAATATAAGAATGAGATGGTGGTGGGTGGTGGTGGTGGGCGGCAGTGGTATCAATTGGTGGTGGGTGACTACGGTGGCGATGGTGGTGGGGTGGGTGGTGGTGGTGGGGTGGCAGCGGTGGTGGTGGTAGTGAAATGGTTTGCAAAAAAGTGATTTTAAAGAAATAGAAGCTATTTTTTTTTATTTTAACTTTCTTACTTGGTAAAACTATTTGACTTATTTGAAAGTAATTAAACTAAGGTTGTGTTTGATAACGTTTTTATTTTTATTTATTTTTTTAATTAAAAAACAGAATCAATTTTTGTTTTTTTTCTGTGATAAAATAATAAAACAGAAACGTATTTGGTTGCAGTTTTTGTTTAAAAATCTTTAAAAACTATAATACAAAACATGTTTGGTAATCACTTTCATTTCTATTACATATTTTAATTTTATCATAAAAAATAAATAAAAATTCATTGTTTCAATCACATAAGTTATTAAACTAACCAATACATCCCATGTATTTGAGAGCAGCCAAAATCAATGCATAATACAATATATTCAACCAATGCATAATACAAGATATTCAGCCAACAAATTCGGCCTCATTTACATTTACTCCTAGTAATTCACAACCATTATAGCATGACATCAATGTATTCGAGAGCAGCCAGAAGCAGTCTTTGAGCTATAGTTACAACATAGATTCCTCAAAGTCCACTTCATCTTCTCCAGCTGCTTCACCTCTTCTGTTGTATGGCACCAATGTATCTGTACACATGATAATGAGTTTGATAGGCATTTGAGGTGTTGAATATTCTAGTTTTTGCGATAAAAAAATTTAAGTTTATAATAATGTATATTCCAATTTGACTTCGAAACAGAGTGCAGCAACAACAAATGTATAGCAGTTCATTTATCAACCAAAGATTGTAGACTGCGGTTAATAAATCTTCACAACCATTCTAAGCATTTGCACCCAAAAAGCTCTCATACACCTAAGCCAAATACACACCGACATCTCAATCCATCATTCAAATCTAAATTTTCTAACTGACATTTTATCAAACATGTTATGAGCATGGTAAATTCCCTTGAGTTAATCAACACAAAATCTTATAATGTCATTTGTTAGTACATAATACACACCCACACACGCAGGAACACACACACAAGCACAAAAACACACACCTACACACGCTGGAGCACACACACAAGCAGGAAAACACCCACGCATGCACACAAGAACACACCCACACCCACACCCACAAGCAGACAAAGACACACCCACCCACCCAGACACAAATCTATCATTATATATGCACATATATACAGATCTATGTATATAGATGCATATATACATAGATCTATGTATATATCTATAGAGAGAGAGGATAGAGAAAGCAAGATCTATTTAAAAACTCATTGTCATGGCATTCGAATCCTCTGGCTGAAGAAGTCTGAGATGGGATTGAAGTTAAGAAATGAAGATTTGAGCAAATCCGGTGGAGTTCTTGTTTCTTTGTAGCTGTGGAAATCTCAGGCTGAAGCTTTTCTATTGAAACGGGAGAGGGGGAGAGAAGTGAGAGAGGTGAGAGAAGGAAATGAATTGGAAATTTATAGTTGCAATTTTTGTACCCTTATTTTGTACTTAATGGAATTCGAAGCCTAGACCTCATTAAATGACCCTGAGATGCGCGCCTGTTTTCGTTTGTGTGTTTTTAGAAACACCATTTTTGATGTTTAGAGATTTGGGACTTGTTTTTAAAACACGGTAGTTGGAAAAAAAACGAAAATACAACACAAACATGTTTTTATTTTTATTTTTGTCAAAAAAAGAAAACAAAAACAAAAAACACAAAACAAAAGGGGTTCCCAACGGAGCCTAAGTTGTTTCAAACACTACTTATTTTTTTTAAAGTGCATATGAAAAGTCACAAGTCCTAAAAACATTTTTAAAAAGTCATCCAAACACACCTTTAAGAGCCTATTTTTCCTATTAAATTTTGGAAGTTCATATTAGTTGTTGGATTAGCTTTAAAGTACATTTTAAAATGATCTCAACTGTGAAAAGAAAAAGTCATTTTTTTATGTTATACTTTATTATATAGATATTTGGTATTAATAGAAACTTGTGCCACAGTTCAATATTAAGTATATATAGGAGTGGCATTCATGTAATAACTATATTAGTCTTATAGTAATGTTTGGATGCATATATATATATATGAGGTGAGGGAGGAGGTTGGGCAAAACCGTCCTCTCTCTGTCTTTCTCAAATTGACAAAAAGTAATCCAGAGAAGGATGTAGAATTAATTTGCAATGTATTTGACAATAAGATATGATGTGGTCGTAGATGTTTTCTAGTTGATCTTAAACCATGGTGAGCAACTGCTCCCAAGTTTTGGTTTACTTGGCAAAAACTTGAAATAGCCACAACCAAGGATCAAAATACCTTTTTGTTTCAGACGAAACAAGAAGTATTTCAGGGATTGAAAATAGAAATTCTCATGTATCTAAATGGTTCAGGATGATTCCAAACTAAAATGCCAATGTTTCAGAATCAAAATTCCAAGTTTTTTCTATGTAATCATTTTGTTTTTGAAACATTAAATGTTTTTAAGCTAACCGAAAAATGTACACCGCAATGAAATTTTGATTCTTGGCTACAACAACAGTGTGTTGAGTCCATGTTCTTGATGTTACTTTGCTGAAAATATTTTTCATTTAATTTTTAAGAAATCTCTATCAACTCAGGTTTTCTAGTCATTTTTGGGTTACTAAAGTTAGTTTATTTGTCTATTGATTTGTTATTTGAGTTATACAGTTGTGCTCAGATATATGATCTATTAAGCTGCGTCTCTCGTAATGTTTGTCTGACCTTTTCATGGACATAATAAGTGGATGTGTCAATAAGTCCCGCTGAATGCTATTCACAGCTTTGTTCTTTATTTAAATTATTGTGTAACCACTTTATAATGATGGTTGATGTTTCTTTATTGGATGTGTTTTAATATCTCCATTATTTGGCTTTCTATAGGTCCGACTATTTGACACTCTGCATTATTTAAAAGCATTTGGAGTGGGAGACGTATGGGTGGCTGTTGGGTGGAGTAGTGATGTAATTCCTGCTGCGAAACGCATGTCAAATGTTGCAGTAATTGCGCCAAAATCTGGATCTAGTTTATGGGCTGATTTGTGGGTATGTATGGAACCATCTGTCACCATATTCTAGAGGATCCCTTTTTTTACTTGCAATTGTGTGATATCTCTGACTAGAATGAGGAACTTAAAATTGCTGCATTTCCGTCTCCAACATTATGCTTACATGCATGGTTGGAATCTGGAATTTTCAGTCGGTCAACTTAAAAACTCTGATTACTTAAACATGACCAGGGTCTGGGGAGAGCAGGGATTGCAAAAATTCTTAAGGTCCAGAGCGTCCCAAGGGTGCTGTAGAAAAATTGAATATACTGATATATCCCTGTGCGTTAATCTATTGTTGACATGTAAATATATGTTTGTCAGTAACTATTTAGTAATAGCACTAATAGGTATAATAATATTTGTAACTATATTGTAAAAAATTCTATATAAAGCAATAGATTCACAACAAAGCTATTGTGACTAGGAGTGCCTCCTCCCAAGGTTCAACAAAATGATGTGACTTCAACACCTCTGGTTGGTGTTAGTGAGTGCATTAAGGATCCGCACTCTCTTAAAATCAAAACCACACTTTAGGCTTGAGTTTTGCGATAAAATCACCATTCTGGGGGCTGGACTTGGAGTGTCCCCCCCAACTGTGTGGAATGGAGAAACCTGGAACCGGACTAATACGATGACAATTAAATGTTTACATTCATGAACATGAAAGGTTTGTGAAATTGGGATATATATTGCAAAAACCAACAAATTTATCATATCTTGAAAATAGAAACGAGGGAGAGATAGGGGCTATGATGCCTTTTTTCATGTAGAAACAGTCATGAATTTTTTCTGTTAACGTTCAATAGTGGAAATCATCATCTCCACATTGTTGTATTTGTATTTGTAGGTAATACCTGCTGCCTCGAGATTTGCAACGGATCAAATTGGTGGCCGGTTCAGAGGGCCATCTCCTCTGGTGCACCAGTGGATAGAGTTCTGTATGCAAGCTGAAAGAGCACATCCTTTTAAAGAAAATGTAATACCAGGCGCATTACCGTTTGCCCTTGAAAATGGCCCAGCTGAAGAGCTTGAAGCGCTGAGCAAGGGTAAACCAAAGCTTGACACAAACCTCATTGCTGGAGCACCCCCAGCTGAAATTCTTGCAAGATGTGAATTCTTGGATCCATTATCAGATGCTGCATTGTCAGATTATAAGTGGTTAATAGCTAGTATTAAAAAACCTAGTGGTGGTTTGATCCAAAGAGTGCAGCATTATATTTCATCAGTGCTTTCACACATTTTTGCCAAGGTTGCAGTCAAAGGTAGCGTCAAATAATCTGATACTATTCTCAAAGTCTGAAAATGTGTTGCTTATTACATGAAGGCCAATCTCACAGGACATTAAAACGTGATTTAGTGTGGCCTTGGGAATCTAAATGGTAAATGTAGTATTGATGTGACTAGATTGTTTTCAGTTATAGCATTAAACTAGAGGTGGTTTCATCCCTAAGTTGATGAACACTGAAATTTATCCATTGGATGGTTGAAATTTGAGGAGTAATTGTAAGAAACTAATTCTAAAGACATTTTGCAGAGAAGTTAATTCCAGCTTAACAAAATATCTAGTAGAGTAAAAGTTCAGGCGAGAGAGGGATACACTGGAGGTGGTTGGATCAGTTAACCAATGATGCAAGGGGGCATGGGATTCTGAGAGTTGGAGAGTTTCAAGAAGGCACCGCTAGCAAAACAAGCGTTTGTGTTAGAGGTACAACTGTGACCAAGATGCAAGAACTCGGTGATCTATTAAGCTATGCCTTGTCGTGAGCAATGTCTGAAAGCTAAGAGTGGAGTATGAGTTTCTGCTTCAATAAGTTTTAGCTTATCTGAATGTGTGCGCCTTTACAACTGTGATGGCCATGTCTCTTCTGTTTCTTAGGAAGAGCTTGATTTACCACAACATGCTAATAATTAACAGGGATGTGTATTTTCGCTGATCTTGAAGGCAGTGTTGTTTTTCTATTGTGTCTTGCGGACTGTATGTAAATCAATCACATTTGGATTAGGTTTCGACTCATATCAGCCCAAATTCGTTTTAATAACTCCAATCTGAGTATTTGACAGATGGTCCATATCCGAATGAGAGAAAATTCAAGATAAAAATTAAATAGTAAATAATGTGGTATTGACATGACAAGTGAAATTTAAATTTAATGAGAAAAATTTGGAACAAAAGCACGTTGTTCAGAGTCACTCTGGGCTGAGGTCTTGCAAATACAAAACCAACGAGAAATCTGTGGTTGTAACTCTTTTGAGGAGATGAGAGAGAAATGGATTTACTTACTATTCCATTAACTGGAACTGATCAGTCAGAAGGGAGGATGCCCTTTTTTTTTGAACAAGATGGGAGCATACCTCAAGTGACCTTCATATAGTAAGGAGTGGCTAAAATCTGGTGCACCTCCGTGCAATAATGGCACCACCTCTGCATAATCATCCCATTCAATCCCCGGAGACCTCTGCAACATTATTAGGAAAATCATTGTCCCTTAAAAAATACGGAACTTCCTGTGGAGGGTGCTGAGTTTTTCAGTCGGAACAAATTGAAACCTGTTGAGAAGAAAGATCTCCAACTCCTCAGGATGCCCTACGTGTGAGGAAGAAGAAGAAGTGGTAGAACACCTCCTCTTACTATGCCCTTGGGTACCCTCAGTATGGAAAAAACCACCATTGGAAATTTGTAGTGATATATCTTCTTGAGCTCTTGCGATTGCAATGATCATGGGTAAAATATGTTTAAAATTTACATGTATCCTCTTATGTGTATTCATATTCAATACCTCAAGAAGAATAGCTGATGAGTTATCTAAAGTCCATAAAAAATTGAGAAGGGGGAAGCATTGATGGCAAGCTATTTTAGTTTACCAACTGTATGCATGGAAAGGTAAGAATGATCAGTTAGATCTCTTGACCCATATTGATCACACTTGTAAGTGCGACTCATGAATGAGTGTAATGGTTGCCATGGTTGCAACGGTTGGTGGAATAGTTGCCCACACAAAGGTTGAAAGAGAGGAGAGATTTTGAATTTAAATTAAAGAGGCACAATGGTTGGTGAAAAACAGCCATTAGAATTGGTGTCTAAGCATCTATTTAGCATCTATAAATATCATATAGAGGATGACATCATAGATACCAGATTCTTATCAAGTACCTATTGCTGTCGGCCATCTCTCTCTCCTATGTTGCCTTTATCTCTCTTCTATTTGTGTGTATTTCCTGTCTAAAAACAGATCACCATTGATATTACTTCACCCATCTGGAACCAATAATATCACTATATACCTCCAGGCAGCTGGGATGTAATCACTCTAGCAATAGCAGCCACGACAGAACTAAATCAGCTACGAGGATCATCTCATACAGGCAGAACGGTAACAGGAGGAGCAGCAGCTTTTTGGGGTTGTCAATTGTGTCGTGTCATTTTTACTTCGTGTTATTTTCGATTATATTATTTAGTGTCATGTGATTTTCGATTTGTGTTGTATTCGTGTTAATATTTGCTTGTCAATAAAAAATTGTTTAACTATAAACTCATGATACTGTGTAAAAAAATTCAAAAAAATTATAAAATATATATTTTCTACTTATAATACCAGTTAATTGTATTATAATACTGTGTAACTTTAGTTTGATCTATTTATTATTCGTCAATTAGTCGTGTCATTTTTGAATTTTACATTGTGTTGTGTCATCGTGGAAGTGTTTGTGTTTCATCCCTTTTGGTCAATGTGGCATGGGGATGTTAGTAGAGCATGCAAATTGGCCTTGCAAAAGGGATACTAGGCGATCATAGTTGAATCAAATTAAAAAACCCTCATGGATATTTGTTTGAGCTTAAAATATAAAAATTTTACGAATATTTAATGTATTGACACCTGGTATTAAGAGTAGTTTTTAGGTTAGTTTAGGAGCAGTTATTCTATAATTAAGGTTGTTTTATTCAATTTATTGTAACCGAAATCTCTTTGATTGAATTAATAAAAGAATACCCTTTTATTAGTTGTCTGTTTTAAATTTTGCTTTTATACAGTGAGAATCTTTATCATGTTCATCCAAGAAAGTCTTGAAATAGGGCATTTGAACCCATTCTGAACAATAGTCTGAAAGCTTTTTATTGATTGACACATTTCTGTTGATCCCAACGGATTTTGGAGCAACAATCTTTTGGTACATTTGGTGGGACAACATCACTAACTTGAATCAAAATGATGTGAACAAGAAAGCAAGACGGGATCGTATTTGGCATGGAACGAAATGAACTTGTGGAAATGATGCCAAACAGTGACAATCATGAAGTAAGTTCAAGTGCCAATCAAGTAGAATCTGCAAATCCAGAAAATGGCCAACTTTGTGGTCAGGATAGCGTGTAGATACAAGAATTCATACAAAACCTGAAACAGGTATTGCATAATTCCAATTTTGGCATAAGACAAGACTTAGTTAATGCCATGAATGAATTAATGGGTATCCAGACACTAATGCCAGGGCCAATTAATCAAAAATCAACCATCGTTATTAGAAATCAAATGATGAAGGAAGTAAATGCCAACCCTATGGTGCCACCTATGGAAAACCAAAGGTTACCACCAATGGTACAGAATGTAAGACCAGACCCACCATACAAAAATAACTTTAACTTGGTTTTCGATGGGGAACCTATCGAAATTTTTCCTTATTTCTACCCAAATAGGAACTCCAGGGGTAGAAATGGACCAATGATGACCCTTGCATTCCCTAGGAGGGGTCATGAGAGGCAAGCTATGCCTCCAATGGAGGCATTAAAATAATTTAACCCAAGGCCAGGGACAACCTCTTGACCAGTTTGAAAATTTTGAAGGCCAGGCCTTTAACAGAAACCAATTGGTTGAAATGATACAAGATTTGTAGGGCCCTAGCCTTAGGAAAATTGAAAGGCTTGTGTTTAGGAAGCCATGCCAACCAAGGGTTGACTTTGATGAATTCCCAAGGGGCTATAAAATTCCAGAATTTCACTTTTTCTCTAGTGAAGAAAATCAATCAACCATAGAACCATAGGCAGATTCACTTTCCAGTATGGAAAAGTTGAAAATAATGGGAATTTAAAAATGAAATTGTTCCCACAATCTTTGACTAAAACAACCTTTGTTTGGTTCATAAATTTGCATGTCAATTCAATACAGACTTGCTAAGAAATGGAAGAGTAGTTTCATGCTCAATTATTTAGAAATGAATAAAAGGTCTCAATGGATGATTTGTCGACATTAAGGCAGAAATCGAATGAATCTGCAAAGTAGTACATCGATAAGTTTAAAAAAGGAAAAAATAAATGTCATGTTTACTTTCTTGAAATTGAATTGGTTAAACTAGCATAGAATGGCTTAGGCTTTGAATTAAGAAAGAAATTTGAAGGAATAGAGTTCAGAGACCTCTTTGAAGACTTAGCCAGGGCTACAAGCTATAAGTTGTTGTTTAGAAAAGAGCAAAAAAAGGAAAAATAGTTCACTTGGAACTTATTACCAATATTTCGATGGGGAAGTTGAAATTGATGTGGCACAGGTCATAGGAAAGCCGTGTGATGCCCTGAAAAAGATTGAGGATCATGTGAACATGCCATCTAGCCATCCTTTCAAAAAGGATGCATCCTCAACCTATTGACAAATATTTATTAGATCTATCGATGAATGATGCTCTATTTGATGAGTTAATCAACCAGAAAGTCATTGTCCTATCTCAAGGACATAACATTCCACCAGAAAAAGATAGAAAAGGGAAAAAGTACTGCAAATGACATAACTTATTTAGACATTCAACCAAAAATTTGATTACCTTTAGAAATCATATGCATGATTTAATTCAAAAAGGAATGCTTAAGTATGCTTCAAAAGAAGAAGAAGTCATGGGTGAGGACAATGTCCTTTCGCTAAAGATGCTAATATTTACATGGTATCTGCAAATTTTTAGGAAGATTACCAGTATAGTTGTTGGTAATGAGATGATTGTTCTAAATATGAGAAAGTCGATCCACAACAGGCTAGGTCCTAGGGAGGAAGAGCCATTGATCATGTGCTTTAAGTGTGTCAAATAATTGGTCAAGCTAGATGCTATACCACTAGGTGATGTGTTAAGAGAATCCACAGACCCTTGTATCCGATTCAACACCAGAGGAAAAGGCAACATCCATATCTACAATGGTAATGACAAAATATTTGATGGTGCTGACCTAGGGATTTTCAAACTTCAAGAAAAGTACCAACATGGGCATGATCCCTATCACTTCCTTGAGAATCAGGGTATCCC